CCAGGCCAGGCTGTGTCTGAGGTCACGAGGAGGGGTCAGGGGGGGGAGCGCCGCCAGGTCCTGGAAGGGGAGCGGGCACCTGGGTCCCCTACATGTGGTTGAAGTTGACCTGGTGGGTCAAGATGCTGCAAGCTGGGTGCAGGCCAGGCGAGCGTCGGGGTCAGGAAGGGGGCACCCCAGGCTGGGCGGGGGGGGGTCAAGGGTTGGGGGGCGGGGTTCAGGAGAGGGGGAGCAGGGTTCAGGGTCAGAGGGGATGGGGTTCAGGTTGGGGGGTCAGGGGTTGGGGACAGGGTTCAGGGGTCATGGGGCAGAGGTTAGGGCAGGGGGTCAGGGGTCAAGGACATGGTGGGGGGATGGGGTTCAAGGGTTGTGGGACAGTGGAGAGGACGAGGGGATGGGGTTCAGAGGTCAGGACAGGGGGATGGGGGTCAGGGGTCAGGACAGGGGGATGGGGGTCAAGGGTTGGGGACAGTGGAGAGGGCGAGGGGATGGGGGTCAGGGGTCAGGACGGGGGGATGGGGGTCAGGGGTCGGGGACAGTGGAGAGGGCGAGGGCATGGGGGTCAGGGATCGGGGACAGTGGAGAGGGCGAGGGCATGGGGGTCAGGAGTCAGGGCAAGGGGATGGGGGTCAGGGGTCAGGACGGGGGGTCAGGGGTCGGGGTTCACAACCGGGGGGTCCCTTACGCTGCGCTGCTGCTCGATCTTCTGCTGCTGCACCTGCTTGTGGTTGGTGATGACCTGGCGGATGCCGTTGACGAAGCCGCTCTGGTCGTAGGGAATCAGCCCCATGAAGATTTTCTTCTTGGACGAGTAGAGCAGCATCAGCACCCGGACCTCGCAGGGCGCCGTGTGGGGGAAGTGCACGCAGCCCGCCTGGGGGCGGGGGGAGCCGGTGTCAGACCCCGCCCCCAGGACAGGCCACGCCCCCTCTCAGCCCGCTGGGGCAGAGCCATGTCAGACCCCGCCCCCCAGGACAGGCCACGCCCCCTCTCAGCATCAGCACCCGGACCTCGCAGGGCGCCGTGTGGGGGAAGTGCACGCAGCCCGCCTGGGGGGGGAGCCAGTGTCAGACCCCGCCCCCAGGACAGGCCACGCCCCCTCTCAGCATCAGCACCCGGACCTCGCAGGGCGCCGTGTCGGGGAAGTGCACGCAGCCCGCCTGGGGGGGGAGCCGGTGTCAGACCCCGCCCCCAGGACAGGCCACGCCCCCTCTCAGCCCGCTGGGGCAGAGCCATGTCAGACCCCGCCCCCAGGCCAGGCCGCGCCCCCTCGCAGAGTATGGTGTGGGGGGAGGGCACACAGCAATGATTCAGGCCACACCCCCATAGAGACCCCACCCCCCAGCCTGCAGTGGGGATAGGGTGGCCCGGGGGCGGTGGGGGGGGTCCCAGGGGGGCCCCGGCCTTACGAAGCCGTTGCCCATGATGCGGTG